ATATATATATATATTAAAAATCCTCATTTAAAATACTAAGTTGAGAAGGATATTTAAAGTTAAGATAATTTTAAATTCCTAAGGCCTCCATTTCTAATTCATTGGTAAATAAATTAATTTATAGTGTGGGCTTCCCCGAGGATGACATTACTTGAAAATTAATTGAAGGATAATTATCAGAACGAATTTCTAAATTTAGACGGTTAGAGGAAATCGAATGAGAGCGTACAGGTCACCCCGAGGCAAACGTATAATCGATTTTGACGACCTTAGGACCGAGAAATGGGATTCACTTAGAATTCGATTCATTTCATAACCCCCCGAGGGGTCCCTGATTTTTATTGCATGGCCAAACGGTGACCATTTATTAATTTCGTTCGTCATGAAATTGGTTTTGACTAATGGAAATTAATGGGTTCTGGAAAAACCCTTCTTTAAAGAAACGAAAAATTAGTAGAGTTGTCCGAGCATCATACTAAATTCTCAAGGTTTAAGGATGTCGGTGAATTTAAGTTAGTATTGTTTTGAGGATGTCAATATTAACAGTTAAATTCAAAATGTTTAATCAGTAAAATATTTTCGTAATTCTCAGGTTTATTCATCATGTCGTTCAATCTGTTGTCTGTTATCCTAAAACAAAATCAACTCACCGGTCCTAATTACATTGATTGGAAAAGGAACTTAGACATAGTGCTGACTGCTAAAAGCTAAAAGTATGTGCTAACTGAGACTTATCCTGATAAGCCGGCTGATGATGCCCCAGATGAGAAACAGGAGTATGCTCGGTGGAAGAAGGCTGATGAGATGGCGAAGTGTTACATTCTGGCTTCTATGTCAAATGTCCTTCAACATCAGCATCAGTCAATGGCCACTGCTGCAGATATGCTTCTGAACCTCAAGGAACTGTTTGGGCATCAGTCGTGGGCTGCAAGACAAGAGGCTTTAAGTGCTCTGATGAACACGCGCATGGCAGAGGGTACACCCGTAAGGGAGCATGCTCTCAAGGTCATGGCGCAGCTGAATGAGCTAGAGGTTCTTTGAGGTTTTATTAACGGGGAAACCCAGGTCGATATCATGCTCCAATCTCTGCCGAAGAGTTTTGATTAGTTCCGGTTTAACTATAACATACACAAGATGCATATGGCTCTTCCCGAACTGTTGTCAGAACTCCAGTCGGCTGAGGCCTTGTTCACTCAGAAATCAGTTGTGATGGTTGATGAGCAAGCCGGACCTTCCAGGCCTCACAAGGGCAGGAAGAGGAAGAAGGCTGCAAGAAAGGAAAAGGCACAGAGCACCCAATTAGTGCCTCAACAGGCTGTGGCAAAGAAGCCGAAAGGTAGATGCCACAAATGCAATAAGTCAGGGCACTGGAAGGTCGATTGTCCTCTCCTCAAGAAGGGCAAAGAAGGTAACTCTCATACTTTCGTCGTAGAAACATGTTTAGCGGTTGTATCTACCAGTACCTGGTGTGTAGATACTGGAGCCACTGATCATGTCTGCAATTCTTTGCAGGGGTTCCAGGAAACCAGACAGCTTAAGGATGAAGAGATTACAGTCTACATGGGCAATGCTACGAAAGTAGCAGCAGTTGCAGTGGGAGTAGTTACTTTAGTATTTGATGCTAGTATTTTGGTTTTGAACAATTGTCTTTTTGTTCCAAGTTTTTGGAAGAATTTAAGTTCAGTTTCTAGACTCGTTTTGAATGGTTATTCAGTTTCGTTTAATAACTCAATTGTTATTCGTTATGGTAATCATTTGATTTGTTCTGGTTCAATGATTGGCAATTTATATGTTCTGAAACCAAAGTCTCCCACACTGCAACAAAATGAATCGAATAATGTCTCGACTAAAACTAATAAGAGAAAAGAGTCTTCGATGAATCAAGCATATGTTTGGCACCTTAGGCTTGGGCACATCAACCTTAGGAGGATTCAAAGGTTGGTATCTACTGGGCATCTTGGTCCAGTAGAAGATCATTACCAGACTTGCGAGTCCTGCCAAGAAGGTAAGATAACCAAGAGGCTGTTTTCGGCAAAAGGGCGAAGGAGCCAAGAAGTGCTAGGATTGATTCATTCTGATTTGTGTGGTCCTATGTCGATCCAAGCTAGAGGAGGCTATGATTATTTCGTCACTTTTATTGATGATTATTCTAGATATGGGTACATTTACTTGTTTCACCGCAAGTCCGAATGCTTTGAAAAATTCAAGGAGTATAGGACAGTTGTGGAGAAACAACAAGGTAAAAGTATCAAGTGTCTTCGATCTGATCGAGGAGGCGAATACCTCTTTGGAGATTTTAGAACATACCTATCAGAAGCAGGGATTGAATTCCAGCTGACTACACCCGGCACGGCCCAGCAGAACGGGGCTGTAGAGCGAAGAAACAGAACTCTTATGGAAATGGTTAGGTCGATGATGAGTTATTCGAAGTTACCAGATTCGTTTTGGGGATTTGCATTAGAGACAGCATGTTACATTCTGAATTCTGTTCCTTCAAAATCAGTAGACAGTACTCCTTATGAGTTGTGGAAAGGGCGCAAGCCTAGTTTCTCACAAATTCGAATTTGGGGTTGCCCTGCACATGTCTTAGTGCAGGAGGCTGGCAAGTTGGAGAAACAATCAGAAGTGAGACTGTTTGTCGGCTATTCCAAGGAAACGAAAGGTGGTTTATTTTATAGTCCTGAAGATCAGAAGGTGATCGTTAGTACGAACGCTAGATTCTTGGAAGAAGACTATATCATAGATCATAAGCCCAGTAGTAAACTTAATCTAGAGGAGTTAGGGAGAGATATCAATAGTTCCCCACCGAGTG